TCACATCTAGGAAGTGTTGTGCATTGCCTGATAACCCAGAACCAACACTTCCTGAAATCATAACTTTTGCCAGTTTCTGGTTGCTTCTTTGCCAAGCTTCTGTACTTAAAGATCTCTCTTTCCTAATTGGGATCATCAGCTCTTTGCTGTACCACTTCCATGCCATGTGTTTCAAATCTCTTTGCTCCAGCACAGGGGCCTGTCTCACACCCATCTCAGGTTTCCCCAACTTTGGGGCATTCTGGCCCACTCCCAGTCTGCATCCACCTCATTCTGCACAGCTGCTTGTTCTGCCTGAGACCCAGCTGTTCTCACCTTTGAGGTGGCTGCACCCCACAGTGCCTTACTCACTTCATTTCCATGTACTTGCCCTTCCTCTACTGATAATGACCTTTGGGAGCCTTGTTCTTCCAGGTCTCCTCCAGTCACTTCCTCTGTGAGCTGTTTCCTGCCCTGTACACTTCATCTGCTTGTTGACACACCTGTCTTCTTCACAAAACATGAGCTATTTCAGAGCAGAGACTGTGATTTAAAAAACTGTTGTAGAAGAGTGGGTTTTGGTGCAGTGTCTTAAGTCATGCTACAGGGGCCTGCATCCCATATCTGAGCGCCTGGTTCTTGTCCTGGATATCCCACTACCAATAAACTTCCTGCACACGTAATCCTGGGAGGCAGCAGGTGATGTGTCAGGTACTTGGGTCCCTGCTACCCCTGGAATTCTAGGCTCCTGTCTTTGGCCTGGCTCAGCCCAGGCTGTTAGAAGTGTTTATGGAGTAACCAGTGAGTGGAATATTTGTCTCTTTCTCTCTGTCTATATAATGAATAACTAAATGTTTTTAAAGAATTTTAGAATAGTTTATGTTTATAAAAATTGTCTTAATATATAATTATGTTATAGAATGTGATTACACATAGATTTCACACATGCTGGTTGAGAAGAATACAATTGGCACCTGTAAAAGAATAATTTTTGTCTTAAGAAATGTACTGTTACCCTCAAATCACTATATATATATATATATACACACATATATAGTTTTTTTATAACCTGGGTGATATTTGCACAAATGCTCATTACAGTATTCTCGAACAGCACACAGAAAAATGTATATATATGTATACACACATATATAATACATAATAATATATATTATATATTAGAATACTTACTTATATATGTATATACATGTATATATAATATACATATGTAATACATAATAATATATATTATATATTAAAAGACTTATTTTATATATATATATACACACACACACATTTTTCTGTGTGCTGTTTGAGAATACTGTAATGAGCATTTGCGCAAATATCACCCAGGTTACAAAAATGGGACATTACCCTGGAGGTCCCTCAAATTACCCCTCCCCCACATTCAAGTATTAAAGGTGGCATGGAGATAATAATACTTTCACTTTTCTTTATATATTTAGCACGTGTCTATCTCCGGTGTTCCAGGCAGAGCAATCTTTATAGTTTCATTGACTCTGCACTGACACTATGGCTCATTAAATCACAATTCAGTGTGCAATCCATCCCTTTCAATGGGGAGGCAGTTAAAAGGAAGGGTGTCTGTGCCCTGGAGGGTCAAAGCTGTAGAATTTGGGTTGTTAGGTGGCTGATGTGCAAACAGAGGCAGAGCTCTGCTTTTCACAGAATTCTCGTTGACCAGCTGAGCTACTGGAGTCTGAACCTGCAGTCCAGTCTGCTTTGAAGATTACTAAAATCCTTGATCAGGGTGAAACAGCTCTGCCCACCAAAAGTAGCTGATGCATACTCAGGCCTAGGAAGACAATCTGCATTTCACAGAAATGAAGAGTATCAGCTTGTGAATGGAAGTGGTTAATAAGTCCCTGGCAAGATTCTCTGGAGATTACTGAACTGCTGGGCAGGCAGGTTAGAAAGGAAGGAGTTGTAGGAACAGCAGCTTCACTTGTACAGTATTCTCTCTCTCTCTGCATTAATGTATCTATTTCTCTCTTTCTCGCTGTATGGAATACGCATCTGTATTTGAACATTTCTGCACAAATACTCTTACACACAGACACAATGATTTTTATGCACATGGGTGGCGCTGTTGAAAATGTACTTTCTGTTGGACTTCCAATTTTAGACCAGACTTAATCCTAGGTTGTTGAATTAATTAATAAATCTATGGAGACAGAAAGTAGAATGGTGGGTACTAGGGTCTGTGGGGAGGAGGGAAATGAGGAAACCATGTTTTATTGGGGAAGATGAGAGATACTAATTTCTGAGATGGATGATGGTAATGATACAACAGTGTGAATTACTTAATACAATGGGACAATAGACTTAACATGGTGAAAAGGATAAATTATGTTTTGTTGATGATACAACAATTGAAAGTAGGGGCCAAAATTTAACCTGAATATAGAGACACCTGCCTCCCATATCCAAGTACCTGGATTCAATATGCATCTCCAGCTCCTGACTCCATCTTCCTTCCAGCACAGACCCTGGAAGGCAGCAGTGATTTCTTATGGTTCCTGGCACTCAGCTTTGGCTTGGCCCAGTCCAAGCCACTGTGGCAACTCAGAGACTGAACAACCATGTGGAAGGTCTTTCTCTCTCTCCCTCTTCTGAGAGAGAGAAAAAAAAAAAAACAGAGAGAGGATGAGAATCATGGGGCAAATACAAAGAAGTCTGGGAGAATAGTAAAGAAAGTATATTCCAAACTCATCTATGTTCCACAATATCATAAATTATGGATTAGCAAAATAAGGTTTAATTAACTTCCATTCTTATACACTTTCTGTTAGATATTTCTGAGGATAAACAAGATAATTCTTCTTGTACCTCAAGTCCCCAAACTTCCCTTTGTTATTCTCCCTGTTGTTGCATGTGTGTGTATGTGTGTGTGTATTTGTGTTTGTAAACACGGACAATGGGTCGTAGGTTTGCCGTTCTGTATCTAGTATTTCTGTGTTACTAAAAGAAGAGTAATGGGATCAGGCCTGTATTTATTTATTTATTTTTAAAGATTTATTTTATTTATTTGAAAGAGTTAGAGAGAGAGAGGTAGAGACAGAGAGAGAGGTCTCCCATCCACCGATTCACTGCCCATATGGCCACAACAGCTGGAGCTGAGCCGATCTGAAGTCAGGAACAGGAGCTTCTTCCAGGTCTCCCATGTGGGTTCAGGGTCCCAAGGACTTGGGCCATCTTCCACTGCTTTCCCAGGCCATAGCAGAGAGCTGGATTAGAAGAGGAGCATCTGGGACTTAAACCAGCACCCATATGGGATGCCGGTGCCTCAGACCAGAGCTTTAACCCACTGTGCCACAGCACTGGCCCCAGGCCTGTATTTATGGTCTTGATCTTCTTTAGCTGAGTGACCCACAGATATGTTTGTGTCACTCATTATTGCAAAATGCAATGGGAATCTTTCACTGCTCATATAAATTAAAGATGTATTTGCTGCAGCCTTCACTTCTGTCTCAGAAAACACACCACCATTCTTCCCTTTAATTCCATGAGGTGGTTTTTGGCATGACATATAAATTGAGGCATACCATGTAACTATGGAATTTTCTGCTTTGCTAAAAGCCCAGGTACTGCCAGATTAACCTACTGAGCTTCCCAGTTTATTCCATTAGCTTAACTTCAAATTGAATTCTCCTTACCCTATGATTCCAGTAACAGTTTTTGGGTGTGTGGTTGATAGCTCCTGCTAGAGCTTAAGCATTTTGGGGTCAGGAGTGGTATCTTGTTCAAGTCCGCATCCCTGCAGAGCACCTCATATTCAGGACAGGTTAAATGACTTACAGGAGATCATCTGGTCAGCCAGTAGTACATTCAGGTTTGGAGCAGATTGTGAGATGTCAGCATTTGTAATTGCTTCTCTGCCTATAGCACAACCAAGAGGAGAAGATAGATAGCCTTTGGTTTAGAGAACACCTCAGGGGGAACTCCTATAATCTACTGTGTGAGGTGACATGAGAGGAATACCTTGATCTACAGCCAGCTAACCATTGTGTACAACAATGTAATGGGTGTACAGGACATGGATAGCCTAGATAATAAAGATTTACATGCTATTCAATGCATAAATGATCAAATCTTAATTTGAGGCATGGTCTTGTGTGGGGAGCAACTCGGACTAGACTAAGTTACTGGAATTAAGACTTATTCTCTGCATCTGCTCTCCCACAATATGGCGCTGAGAGAAAGAGACCAAACAACTTCTACGCAGCTGCCTCTCGCCAACTTGACTGATGAGCTGCAGGAGCTGATCCTGCTCCTGATTGGAGGAGAGCAGCGTACTCGGCGTGTGGGCAGCAGAGTTGGGATTGGTGGAAGAGGACTATAAAGGAGGAGAGAGACAACATGCACCAGGAACACCTGAGGAACATCTGAGCAGCCCCCAAGAGAGCCAGCCTGGCGGTGTGCCACTCCTCCGCAGAAGTGGGGAAAGTGGCAGGGGGAGCCGCGCCTCCACGGAGGTGGAGGGGTTGGCAGCCAACCCGGGAAGGACCAGCAGCAAACCCGGGAAGGGCCGAGCAGACAAAAGAACAGCGCAGGGTCCTGTGTCGTTCCTCCGCGAATGGGGGAGCGACAGTCTTGCATTCTGGTTTCAAATCGTTTGCTTTCCAGACTTGATCTGGGGTACAAAGCATTGATGTGCCTTGGGACACAAAGGGAGGATGCTAGAGGGCTCAGGGATTGCCAAGGTTGTGCCTCCAGTGTTCATGCTGACATGTTGGCATAACTTACCACAGTGCCAGCTCATCTGCTAAATGGAGGTTAAGGGAGCCACTGTGCTGATTTCTACACGTTCAATGCAGATGTTTCCAGGTGATTGCCAGAACTTTCTTATGGGTTTGGCCCAGGGGCCATGGAGCCAGCATCTGTCTTTGACAGATGCACCAGGAGATGGCTTCTACATAACAGGGTGTTCTCCAAGCGCAGTTCCAGTGGAGTCAGTGCTGTTTGCATGTCCATGGTGCTGTTTTCTCTTTAATTCCTAGGCAGCTGGGATTACTTACCACCTGCATCATCTTTTCGGAGGCGGCGGCTGGCACGGAGGCCGGGCTACATGAGAAGCACAGCTGGGCCTGGGATCGGGTTCCTCTCTCCAGCAGTGGGCACACAGTACTGTGTCCTGGAAGGGGCAGGCATCCAGGAGTCCCACAACTCAGAGTCCAGTGCTGAAAGCTGTGGCCAGCGGCGAACCCCCAAGGTAGGGACTTCTGTTCCCCAGAGCACAACAGATCCTCCTGTGACCTCTCTGGGCTGTGTAGGCGGGGCTGTGACCTCTACAAGAGGAACGTCAGCATGCTCTGGGATTCAGCTCAGAGCTGATAGGCTAACTGGGCCATGTGGCCCTGTGGACACTGGATGTCAGCAAGAATTTTCATCCATGGACTGTGCTGAGGCCCTGGGCCCCATCCAGGACGCAGCCTGTGGTGAAGGCACAAGGAGAGCCCAAGATACAGGCTCTTTGGCACCAACAGAAGTGAGCAGGAACAACCACAGCCTCGGAAACAGCCTCAGTGCCCCTTCAGCCATTCCTGGCTCGCAGGATGTCTTTGCCTCAAGCTTTAGTTTCATTCAGCAGTCGCTCGGCTTTACTGGGGAACGTGGAGAAGCAGAAGGTTGCCTGCCATCCAGAGAGGCTGAGTCCCCTCATCAAAGTCCCCGGGAGATAGAACTCAAAGCCTCCAGCTGGGACACACCCCATGAGGACCCTCCATCTCTCTCTCAGTGCTTTGGTCTTCCAGCCCCTGGGGGCTCTGCAGACTTGGCCCAGGTGGTGGGGAGCAGCTGCTGCCCAGAACATGAGATGCTTCCTTCCGTGGACACGGCCCCTGGCTGCTCCTGTTGCCCAGCACCCTCGCTGGCTGACTGTCATGGTGAAGAGCACAGTGGCTCAGCGAATGCCCACTGCTGGACGGCACTGCTCAGCAAGTGGGAGCCTGCACTGCTGGACTGCCTGTCAAGCAACCAGAGGAAGCTAGAGGTTGGTATTTCCCCCACCCACAGTTGTCATTCAATTAGTACTGAACAGAGGGCAGGAGAGGAGGGTGCTGGGCTAGGTCAAACTTCCCACGAAAGCTGTACCAACCCCTTTAGTGGATGGCCACAAAGAGACATTGTGCTCTTCTGTCTTTTGGTGTGAACACAAATCTCTTCCGTGCAGCGTCTCTGCCACTCAGGTGCTCATATCTGCTTTCCGTTGGCTTCAGGCTTCCCTATCCTGGAAGTAGGTGACATGTGATTCACTTAGCTCAGCTGTGGTTTGAAAGAGGAAACCAGAGGGGGCAGGGGAGATTGAACTGTCCAAGGTTTGTCGAGTGTTGAGAAATGTAAAAGTGGAGACAGTTTGCATTGGACCTATCCTGGTCTTCATTTGTGTGTACTCAATTCATCCCATGCCATCCTACTGCAGTGGGAATGTCTTACAAAGTGCTGGGGACACTGTTTCTGGTTATTTCACTTCTCTGGTCCTCCGTTGACTTATTTAGAGATAAGAACACTTCATAGGATTGTTTCGTGTCATGGATAAGACTGTCAGCACTGTGGAAGTTAGGACAAGCTAGATACAAACAAGCCCTAGCTCGGATCAAACAAGCCTTAACTGGATATAGCAAGCCCTAGCCATTTTCCATCCAAGTAACTGAGATTTATGGACAAGCAGGAGTGGGTAGGGTTGTTCTATCACAGGTAGAAAATAATCCAAGTAGAAATAATCTATGAGTAACTATCAGGCAGTACTGCACGTCCAGTTAAAAACTACGTATTCATTCTGGTGTGTTGTTTGTGTGTGTGCATGTGCAACCTCTGAGTAGGCAAATAGAACTTCCACTCATCAGACATTTGATAGGGAGATCCGGAAATGATGGAAGTTCATGTTCATTCTCCAATCAAGTCTCATATGATTTAAATTCTTTACCTGTATCCTGATGTTCCTGGTCCCCTTATCACTGTTTGTCCTTTTCTAGCTCTCAAAGACCACAACTCAGCCCTCTGATTTATGACTCAAGGAAGTAGCTAAACCAGAGACACAGACCTCTAATCTGGGTAAAGCATGGAATCCTTGAGTTAGACACATCCACAACCCATGTCACTGTCTTTTTAGCCCAACTCGGTTCTAAGTCCTTCACACTCATCAATATTTTCTGATTTGAATGTATAGAGTCCATCTCATTCCATAGGCCAGCAACCATCTTCCACACTCTTCCTCACCTCACTCCCCATATCCAGACTATCTCAGACTCTCTTGGCCCACCCCAACCTGCTTCTCAGGGCCATGTTCTCTGTCTTGACTCAAATCATGGTTATCTTTGCCTAGATTTTGCAAGCAATTATTAATGTGATTGACTTCCTCTGATGCCTCTTTTCTCCAGTTCATCACCTGCACAAACAATGCAAATATTTTCTGGAAAAACTGGTGTAATAATGTTATTCTTTAGCATTTAAACCTTGTTATCTCCTTGCTAGTCTCAGAACAGCAGCTGAATCCCTTATCTTGCTAATCCAGCCCTTTCCCATTGTTCTTCACCTGCCTCAACAACTCAGTCCTGCTGGCCTCAACCATGTAGTCCTGAAAACAGCAAGGAAACCTATGCCTTTGTTTACAGTTTTCCTTCTTTCTGTAGCGATATGAGCACTTTTTCACTGCTTATCCCATCTGGTGCACTTCTGAAGGCATTTCCTTATGAGACAGTTCCTAGCCTTCTGTCCTTACATTTATTCCTATGTTGGGCATGCTTCATTATAGTCCTTAGCATTTTCTTTTTTTTCTTTCTTTTTTTTTTGACAGGCAGAGTGGACAGTGAGAGAGAGAGACAGAGAGAAAGGTCTTCCTTTGCCATTGGTTCACCCTCTAATGGCCGCCGCAGCCGGTGCACCGCGCTGATCTGATGGCAGGAGCCAGGTACTTCTCCGGGTCTCCCATGGGATGCAGGGCCCAAGCACTTGGGCCATCCTCCACTGCACTCCCTGGCCACAGCAGAGAGCTGGCCTGGAAGAGGGGCAACCGGGACAAAACCCGGTGCCCTGACTGGGACTAGAACCTGGTGTTCCGGCGCCGCAAGGCGGAGGATTAGCCTACTGAGCCGCGGCGCCGGCCTTAGCATTTTCAATAAGCATTTGTTTATGAGTGCAAGTTCCCCTTGCAACCTTGAGTTCATTCAGGATAGTCACTCCCTTTAGACATTCTGGGATCCTAGTGCCTACTACACTTAAGGACCTTCAGCAGGTGCTTGATTACTATTACATCTTGTTAAGATGGATCACAGGGCCGGCGCCACAGCTCAATAGGCTAATCCTCTGCCTGTGGCACCGGCACACTGGGTTCTAGTCCCGGTCGGGGCGTCGGATTCTGTCCCAGTCACCCCTCTTCCAGGCCAGCTCTCTGGTATGGCCCGGGAGTGCAGTGGAGGATGGCCTAAGTCCTTGGGCCCTGCACCCGCATAGGAGACCAGGAGAAGCACCTGGCTCCTGGCTTTGGATCAGCGTGATGCGCTGGCCACGGCGGCCATTGGAGGGTGAACCAACGGCAAAAAAGAAGACCTTTCTCTCTGTCTCTCTCTCTCTCTGTCCGCTCTGCCTGTCAAAAAAAAAAAAAAAAAAAAAAAAGGATCACAGACATGTAATTGACTTATTTAATAGTTTGTCCATGGCAGAAGAAGAGAATTTGAGAGGCAGACACACTCAAGCACAAAGGCGTTTTCCAACTCTTAAGTGTTAATTTTCAAAAATCTGTTTCAGAAATCTTTATAAAAATCCTTTGCAACCCATCTGCATTTCTAAAACTCCAAATTAAAAAGCTTTTATGAAGGCTGACTTTCCTCCACCCTAAAGTAACCAGACAGAAACTTGCCTTGAGGACAATTCAGCTGCATGCAATAAGATTTGGCTCCCTGTGTTCTGGGAACACCAATAGTTTCTTCCTTACCTTTGATTCTTTTTATCTGGATATAGGTCACAGCCTCCTGAAAACCTAGAACTTTTCACAAATTGGGATCTATGAAACCCCTGAGCAAATATAGTTTTCTGGGGCCAAGCCATGTCACAATTTCCCATGCCAGTTCTCTGAGATCCTGGTAGCTGAAATTCCAGGGTACTTAACTTGATTTATCTTTTAAAGTTCATAAGTTTTAGATTTAGAATGAAAAAAATCAATCCTTAATATGCCCTTTCCTTTCTCTTTTATTACCTGAACTCAGCTACTAGAAGAAAATAACAGATGATAGCTTAATAGAAAATTGTTTTTTGAAAGAAAGGCATGGTTGCTGCTGGTTCACTGGTGGGACTTGCATACTTAGCACATCTTTCACTACTGGAATTGTTGAGCAGTAGCCCTGAAGCTAGGGAGCTCCTGTTGGGCCATGTGAACTGTCCCCACAGGACTCTGTAGCGTGAGTTTCCCCTTCCCTTGCCTTATGCAATTTGATTAATTGCACTGTGCCTCAAGATGATCCTATACGAAATGGAGATGACAACAGTACCTATCTCATTAGTTTGAAGGTTACACGTTCAGACATGCAAAATGCTTCAGACAGAGTCTGATCCCAAGCAAGTACTCACAACATTGCCTCACTAGGGAAAATGCTTCATTTAGGAAAGTTTGATCTTTCTGGTATTTCTTTTGATTCAGCCATAGGTAAGTATTTAATAATATCATCATTTGAGTATGGTAATGGTAATGTTAAAGCTTTATCTGGGGACTGGCACTGTGGCACAGGTTAATCCTCTGCCTGTGGCGCCATTATCCCATATGGGCACCAATTCTAGTCCCAGATGCTCCTCTTCCAATCCAGCTCTCTGCTGTGGCCTGACAAAGCAGAAGATGGCCCAAGCACTTGGACCCCTGCACCCACGTGGGAGGCTCAGAAGAAGCTCCTGGCTTCTGGCTTTGGATCAGCTCAGCTGTAGCCATTGCAGCCATTTGGGAAAGAAGACCTTTCTCTCTGTCTCTCCCTCTCACTGTAACTCTACCTCTCAGATAAATAAATAAAATCTTTAAAAAAGCTTTATCTGGCAATCAAACCAGTCTTACAGCCTTTCTTCTGTTCCCTAATGTATAGAACTAACTTACTGCTCAGATTTAATGTCATAATACAGCGCAAGTCAGGGAAAACAGGTGGATATGATTATACATAGAAAGTATTTACTGATGCCTATTAGTACAATGTGGTCTGCTAGGCTTTGTTAAGGATAGTGTTAAAAATAGACCAGCAACAAATGGCAATATCATACAGAGGCTCAACACAACACAATTCTATTTCTTGCTATGTTTCATGTTCTAAATCTGTTTGGAGAAGCTCTGCTCCATAGAGTGACTCAGGAACATAGCCTGCACCATCTGAACAGATGGCCCCTTAGTCTCTGTGACATGGACATAAACACAAAGGAGTCCTACAAGAGCACTTACAGCCTCAGCACAGAAGTGATACTAAGCAGAGCAAGGAGGAGAGGCATGTGTCACCCTTTGTGCTCAGAGCAGAGGAAAACTGAAAACAGTTGAGCTTTAGCATTTTTAACTCTGATACACCATAATTCTTGCTCTCCAGATACTCAAGGTTAAATGGAGTGCACAGACAAAGCAAAACAGAATAAAACAGTAGTTACAATATGGGGTGATAAGCACTACGATCGTTTCCTGCAACTCAATTCTAGCTGGGACTCAGATCTGCAATTTTGACATCATCGTTGACATTGCACCGGTGATTTTTAGTAAAGCCTCTTGGACACTTTTCACTATCACCATTCTACCACTCTACTCACTACAGCCCAGGCTGCCATCATCTCTTTTCCGTGTTATTTCCAGTGCTTCCTGCTTGGTCTCTGTTCTTCTGCCCTTTCTTATAATGGTTCAAGAAAAGTTAAAAGCTAATTCAGATTATGCGCTCTTTTGTGCCAAACCCTCCAATGGCCCCCTGTGGCCCTCGAGTAAAACTGGAACTTTTATGTGACCTTCATGTGTCTTCATGACAGATTCCTCGTTACCTCTCTGATGCCATTTCTGTCATTCCTCCCTTGTCAAGCCACTCCAGACCCAGTGGTCTTCTCTCTTTTTAAAAGATTTATTTGAAAGGCAGAGAGAAGAGAGGCAGAGGTGCCCTGACAGAGATTTCCTATTCATGGTTTCACTTCCCAAATACTCAAAACAGCCCTGGCCAGGCCCGTCCAAAGCCAGGAGCCAGGAACTCAGTCAGTGTCTCCCACATAAGAGCAGGGACCCAACTGCTTGAACCATCATTTGCTTCCTTGCAAAGGGCATATTTAGCAGAGAGCTGGATGGGGAGCAGAGCCAGGACTCAAAATCAGGCACTGGGCTATAGAATGTGAGCATTCCAAGCAGCCTCTTAACTGCTACACCATACACCTGCTCACTCCCACCCCCACCTCACCCTAAGTGGCCTTTTTGCTCTCATGTAACAGTTCCTGAAATGCATATGCCCAAAGCTCTGACACTGGCTCTTCTGTGAGATTTTTTTTCCCTCCCAGATAGCTTCTTGGTTTATATTCCCTTACCACTACTAAATCTTTGCTTGAATGTCACTTCCTCATGAGATTCCTTTAAAATCACAATCTCCATCCTCTACTAGAACTTACAGTCTTCCTAACTTGATTCTCTTTTGTTTTGCAACTTTTCTAGCATACATCACTGGTTAAAGCACTATAATGCTTACGGTTTTTTGCATTGAATATAAGTCTAGAGGATTATTGTTATTATTATTGTTTTGTTGCTGCTGTATCCCTGGCATCTCAAACAATACCTGACCATTAAGAGGTATTCAGTAAACATTTGTTGAATAATTCTTTGAGTAGAGCAAGTACAGGTCACAGTGCTTTGAGAGAAAGTAACTCAGATAGGAAGAGGTAACACCTGAGCTATGTGACTTAACTGTCTATGTGGGACAGGCAAAGAATGTAAAGTGTTTTGATAACAAGAGAATATATTGCTCACAGCTGATTGGATGCTGAGTCTGTATGTGGGCTAAATAAGACAAGACACGTTTCCATAGTAAAAAGCATTTGAACCTTAGAGATTCTCAGAAGGGTTCTTTTTTTAGTTTTTATTTGATGAATACATTTTTTTCATAGATACAACTTTAGGAATATAGTGGTTCTTTCCCCCATACCCACCCTCCCACCCCAACTTCTATCCCATCTCCCTCTCCCTCTCTCATCCCCATCTTCATTATGGTTCATTTTTAGTTTGATTTTATATACAGAGGATCAACTCCATGTTAAGCACAGATTTCAACAGTTTGTGCACACACACACACAACATTTAGAATACAGTTTGAGAACAAGATTTGCAGTTAATTTTCATAGTACAACTCTTTTAGGACAGAGGTCCTACATGGGAGTAAGTGCACAGTGACTTCTGTTGTTCCTTTAACAATTAACACTTATTTATGAAATCAGTGATCACTCGAGGCTCTTGCCATGGGCTGCCAAGGCTATGGAAGCCTTTTATGACCACAGACTCCATCAGTGTTTGGACACGGGGATAAGCAAAGTGGATGTTCTCTCCTCCCTTCAGAGAAAAGTACATCTTTCACTGATGGCCCAGAAGGGTTCTGTGAGGTCCTTTCTGTCATTCTTGTCCAGTCTCAAGGTCAGCCTGTTGAGCTCTAGTTCATGTTCTTCTCTTCATTTCTTTCCCAAGTTTAGTTCTTATGTTTACTCTCCTAACTTTTATGTGATGGTTAGAAAAGAGACCAATTTGTCGAGGGACTTCTACTCCTTCTCATTATGCATTTCTTCATGTAGATAAGGTCATTGTGTGATTTTTTTTGTTTAAAATGACATTTTTACTATTTCTCCATTTCTGTGAATTTTACACTCAAATTATACATTTTCTTTTCATAACTTTGAGACACTGCTGCATCTGGATTTAGGGAAGTGTGTATTTTTGGTTCCTTTAAGAGACAAATTAATAACTGAGAGTTTCTAAAAGTTCTTAGGTTTTACAAAATAAGTTTGCTTAAATGTTATTATAACTTGATTTTGATTTTTCCCATTCACACCAAAATAGGTGACATCCTTAAGATTAAAGCTTCAGAAACTTCAAGAAAATGCAGTTCAGGATGATGATTATGATAAAGGTGAGTTTTAATTTATTATTTTTTCTTTTTCCCATAATGTACCACTTGTCTCTCCATTATTACTCATTCCCTGTATAAGTATTTCATACATTGTATGATCTGTTCTAGTTATCTCTACTAAGGAGCTGTTGATTATCCTATAGTGCTATATAAGCATTGATTGCCTGAATTATAACTTGGTCAACTATCCAGAAATATGTGATATAGTTAATTCATTGTATACCTGACTATGGTTTAATACATGTCTAATTTGTTCATTGAACAAATGTTTGTTGAGCACCTGTGCAATGTAATGTGGAAGATATTAGGAAAAGTGAAAGGTCGACATGATGTCTGCTTTTGCGATGCCAGTAAATGTGCCCTCGTGGGGCTTTCTGACTTCATACACTTTTTTTAAAAAAATATTTATTTATCTGAAAGACAGAGTTACAGAGAGAGGTAGAGACAGAGAGAGAGGCCTTCCATCCACTGGTTCACTCCCCAGATGGCCGCAACAGCCGGAGCTGCGCCGATCCGAAGCCAGGAGCTAGGAGCTTATTCCCGGTCTCCCATGCGGGTGCAGGGACCCAAGGACTTGGGCCATCTTCCACTGCTATCCCAGGCCATAGCAGATAGCTGGATCGGAAAAGGAGCAGCCGAGACTAGAACCGGCGCCCATATGGGATGCTGGTGCTTCAGGCCAGGGCTTTTTTTTTTTGACAGGCAGAGTGGACAGTGAGAGAGACAGAGAGAAAGGTCTTCCTTTTGTCATTGGTTCACCCTCCAATGGCTGCCGCGGCCAGCGCGCTGCGGCCAGCGCACCGCGCTAATCCGATGGCAGGAGCCAGGTACTTATCCTGGTCTCCCATGGGGTGCAGGGCCCAAGCACCTGGGCCATCCTCCACTGCACTCCCTGGCCACAGCAGAGAGCTGGCCTGGAAGAGGGGCAACCGGGACAGAATCCGGCGCCCCGACCAGGACTAGAACCTGGTGTGCCGGCACCGCAAGGCGGAGGATTAGCCTAGTGAGCCATGGCACTGGCCCAGGCCAGGGCTTTAACTCACTGTGCCATAGCGCCAGCATCCTGACTTCATACTCTTTATGACTAGAGATTGAAAATGAGATAAATTTGGGATACCAGGGTTTGCCAAAGACCAAATGCATTGAATTTTCATATGGCCTGAAATAACACCCCTAAGTACATCTGAATATAGAATAGTAGTTTCTAGATTCTAGGTAGGGTTGTGGGGAAGGTGGTTGGAAAGACGTTAGATACAAAGGACTAAGTCACAGTTTTATAGAAGGAATGGATTCCTAGTGTCATGCAGAGTTGTGGGGTGACTGTAGTTCAGAATTATCTATTATTGATTTCCTAACAAATAGAAAAGGGGAGCTCAAAGGCTCCAACCATAAAATAATGAGTAAAGGTGGAAATGTTAGTTACCCAGACTTGATCAGCACCTTTGTTTATACTTTATTGAAATATTACACTGTCTTCCATAAATATGTACCTTTATTTTATTTTACTTTTAAAGACTTATTTATTTATTTGAAAGTTAGAGTTACATAGAGAGAGGAGAGGCAGAGAGAGAGAGAGGTCTGCCATCTGATGGTTCACTCCCCAGTTTGCTGCAACAGCTGGAGCTGTGCCGAACTGAAGCCAGGAGCCAAGAGCTTCTTCTGGGTCTTCCACACAGCTGCAGGGACCCAAGGACTTGGACGATCTTCTACTGCTTTCCCAGGCCATAGTAGAGAGCTGGATTGGAAGTGGAGCAGCTGGGTCTCGAACCGGCGCCCATATGGGATACCAGTACTGCAGGCCAGGGAGTCAACTCACTGCACTGCAGCATTGGCCCCTATGTACCATTATTTTAATTAAAAATGTTTTAATGGTTAAAGAAATGAATGTAATCTCAATGTAATCTCCACACATTGAATACATGGGTGACTTATCACATGGTATCCCGCAAATATATATAATTAAAATATGTAGTAAAAAAAAAAAGAAAGGCTATGATGTGATACCAGAAGATAGACAAGTAGTCAGAGGCCAGACGGAACCATGAAAAGGGCACCACAAAGTAGGAGCTGGGCCATAGCAGACATGACTGACATTGTGGCTAAATTTAGACAGAGCCAGACAAAAACTCTCTGGTAACGATGTCCTGGGAAGCATCATTTCTTCAGGTGCTGATGGCAAGATTCCACATGCATTTCTGCTCAATGTAGGGAAGAGAGAGAGTTTAAAATCGCCTCCAGGTTTCCCCCTAGATACCTGTGAACTTGATAGGTATTCCTGCCTGTAGTGAACATGCTATTTTTTTTTTTAAGATTTATTAATTTATATGAAAGAGTTACAGTGAGACACACACACACACACACACACACACAAGATTGGGAAGGAGAAAGAGAGAGAGAGAATCTTTCATTCACTGGTTCACTCCCCAAAAGGCTGCAATGACCATGGGTAGACCATGCCAAAGCCAGGGGCCAGGAGCTTCTTCCGAATATCCCATGTGGGTGAAGGTGTCCATGCCCTTGGGCCATTTTCCATGGCTTTCCCAGGCACTTTATCAGGGAGCTGGATTGGAAGTGGAGCAGCCGTGATCCGTATGGTATGCCGGCACTGCAGGTGGAGACTTAACCTGCTACAACACAGTGCTGGCCCCTGAGAACAAGTTAACACAAATTGGTTTAGAAGTACAATATATATTTAAAGATCCTTCTGGGAGCTGGTTCAGCTTTGAGCTTTTGTTTTCAACTGTGTTGGTCCTTATTCTAGCATTCTCATGAATCCATCACAGACCATTGGAATTAGGGCATTACAAGAATGAGGTGAGTGATTTCCCCAAAAAATTTGAAAATCTATTCAAAGACATATTCAGAGCTGATGTTGCCTAGTGTTCTCATAGCATATACCACTGATATTCAGTTGAGAAAGTGATGGGGTATGAGAGAAAGAGAGAAGGATTTGAGGACAAAGGCGAGACTTTTTAATTCTCCCAGTCCACTTTCTACCAGGTGCTTGATTTTGTAATGATGCTCAGTGGAGTAGCCTGAGAGAGGGGGTGAGTCTGAAGCAAGAGGAAGTATTTCCTCATCTCAGTGTCACCAGCTTTGGCCTTGGGTGCAGCTGTAGACAGAGAACCAATGAGCTATTACTGGATCAGGGATCACCTGCTGATTTTTGTCTGTGAAAGACGGTTCAGCGTAGTCTTGAACCTCTCCACTGTTGCACATATTTACTTCCTCTGCCATGGGCCAGGTCCTGCTTCCTTTAATGGCACAGCTCTCACTGTGATACACCAAACTTTCAACACAACTGGAAAACCAGGTCCTAGTTTCTCCTCAGGACCTGGTGAATTTTCTGAACGTGTACTAGGTCATTAAGACTTGGTTTTAGTATGCTTTTTTAATGCTCTGCATATTTATTCATATTCTTACATATTGCATTTCAATCTAAGTGTTGGCTGCCCCATTGACTCAACTGTAAACTTGCTGGGCAGAGAAAGAGAACCTATCTAATTTTATTTAAGAGACATAATAACTGAATACATTTAAATCAGGTAAATTCGAAAGATGAGTAGTTTTCTTTTTAAATTAATAAACAACTCTAATTTAAACTTTTGCTCCAAGCACCTGGCATAGTGCTGTCATGCTAGCCTGTCAATACATGACCATTGAATGAACAGCTACATGTTCAAAATGCATTCTATCTACAAGTGATGCTTATTATCACTGTCATCAAGTTATAACAGTGAACAATGCCGTAAACATTAGTCTTAAAGTCATAGTGTTTTTCAGTTCATCCTAGTTAAAAATACAGCAACAAACATGTTTTGCCATTTACTAGCCATATAAGCTTAGACAAATTATTCTGTCTTCCCAAACTTTAGTTTTCCATCTGTAAATGGGATAATAGACTTGTTTGGAGAATTAAACAGCACATGCTAAGTATCTGGATTATGAATCACACTGAGTGAATGTTAGTCACTACAATTATATGCACTGGTTAAATATTTACATAATATGGAGTTTAAACTGCATATCTGTATTTTTCTGCTCAAATTTGTTTGCAAATAGGGTATTGTTTTAAATTTCCTTAGAGGGTCTAGTTTTGTGCTTTTTGAGAGTAAATAGAAATCAGAAAGCCTATAGTGGAGTCTTTCCCAGTAGACAAAGCTACTTTCCATTACAGTGTGTGTTGAATGGAATGACCTTTAGCAGTTGACAGTGATGTAGCTGAAGGGACAGTTTTCCACTTGACCTTTATGCAATGTGCTAGCTTGTATCATAACACAAAATAAGTTGCAATTGACAAGCTTGATAGAACACTAACTTGACAGGAACTTACTGTCTGGGAGCAGATAGGCACTTAGCCAGTTCATGTTAGCTACAAAAGTGTGGATACTTCCATATACCCAAAGATGTGACTACTACCTAAGTTACTGCCAGGACATTTAGTGTGATTAGTTCCTTTGAGAGGTTTTTTTTTATTATTATTTTTATTTATTTGACAGATAGTGAGAGAGAGAGACAGAGAGAAAGGTCTTCCTTCTGTTGGTTCACCCCCCAAATGGCCGCTATGGCCAGCACTGCGCTGATCCGAAGCCAGGAGCCAGGTGCTGCCTCCTGGTCTCCCATGCGGGTGCAGGCGCCCAAGCACTTGGGCCATCCTCCACTGCACTCCTGGGCCACAGCAGAGAGCTGGACTGGAAGAGGAGCAACCGGGACTAGAACCTGGTGCCCATATGGGATTCTGGCACCGCTGGTGGAGGATTAGCCAAGTGAGCCACGGTGCTGGCCCTGAGAGTTTATTTTTAAATGAGATTTGCTCACGATGAATGTTTATTGCTAAGGACTTGGTTGTTCTGCAAGCACCCAATATATTCTTTTGATTTTTGTTTGTTTTTGGTGCTCTTCTTCCCTTCTTTTCCATTCATCACAAGGTTTTTCTTCTCATCTTGTCTATTGTTTCATTTCCATCTTTCTCTAAATTTTACCACCTTTAGTTTTCTACC